TCTGATGTGGCTCTTGGCAGGACCCAGCCCTACCTGCAAAACAGGGAAGAAGAGGAGGATGGGGTGAGCCACAGGAAGCCTGGCGGCTGGATCCTATGTCGGCTGAATCACCAGGATTCCCTCCAAATTAGTGAGGCCGCTGTGTCAGTGCCCTCTGCTGCAAGCCCGGGGGTTCTGGCGCTTGCTGTGGGTTGCGGGGGGACCGAGTGCCTGGTTGTCTGGCTTGTTATTCCTAAAGCAAGATTGATACGTGCTGGGTTAGTGGTTAGAGACATGAGGGTTTTGAAGTATTTTTAATTAGCTAATGCTGACTGACTTGTCTTCTCGTGTCTGGCGCCTTTGTCATGAAAAAACAGCAAAACCACAGGTTCCTCTGAAAAGGGGAATACGTACAGGGTGAGTCACTGCTCTAGAGTAGGCCTAGGCGCTTTTTTTTTTTTTTAATCGGATGGAAAAAGGACACGTTAATACCTTTTTGTTGATGCTTTAATGTGTCTCTGCATTTGCCCATTTGAGTAAACAAATTGATGCTGTTAATCAGTCAGTTGTAGAGATATTAAAACAGGGTGGGTCTGGGAGGGACAGAGTGGCTTGGTTTTCAAGCTAACGCAGAGCTGCTAAGAAAGCAAATTCTTCCATTTGGATCCGCAGCAAATTCCAGCTCTGTTTCTGTTGGAAGTGTCCAACTGTCAGGAAATATTTGGTTGCCATGTGCTGTCAAAACTGAACTAGTCCTCCAGCTTTCAAGGGGATGTGCAAATGCCTGAACCCCCCCCCCCACGCTCCCCCCTATTTTCCACTGATTCTCTGTGAAGGATGCAGCTCCCAGGGCTTTCCCTCTTGGGGAAGAGTCCTGGGGACTCTTTCTCTGGGCTTGAGTGTTTTTAAGTTGCTGTCTGAGCAGTTAATCCACCCAAATGTCCTGACTTCTGGCACTTGTGCTGGAAGTGCTGAGCACTGCAGTGCAGGCATCCCTCTGGTGACAGTCCTCGCTGCAATGGGGTGTCTCCAGGTGGCTTACAGCTGTTAAAACACACGGGCTGGGGCAGCTTTGACCTGCCTGTATTGCAGTTCTGTCTGGAGAGCAAATAAACTAACCCTGATTCAGTGACTGCAGTCTGTTCAGAAGCTATAAAACTTTTTGCGCAGAAACTTTATACAGCCCCTCTCTGATATTTGAAAACCTGAGATGCACTTAAAGCAACCCTGATCTGCAGCACAAAGTGTTCAGAGGACAGAAATGGGCTGCACTGTATGCCAGCCACTCTCTTCTGTGAAGCTGCTTTTGTGAATCTGTGTGTTATGGAGCTGCCTTTGCTTTTCTTCTGTGGGGTGAGGGATGAAGGCAGGAGCAAAAGGGATCTGGAGCAGGAATTGCTTCCTTATATGCTCTGCTTACTTGTGCATTGAGTGCATTGACCGATGGACCATCTGTCACCAGGGCGTAAAATAGGTGTGGGATCACTAGCTCACTTCTGTCTCCTCTTTTCCGCTCATTCTCTCTTTCTCCCTCTAAAATGGGTCTTCAAAAGTGAGTTTGTCTCTGGCTGTCATTGCATGCCCTGGCAGAGACTTTGCTCGTGGTAGAAGTGAATGTGACGTGGTGAGGTGTGTGCAGTGTGGTGCTGCATCCCCACAGGGCTTCGAGTGAGGCAGCTGATGTGTGATCCCTATGCCAGTGTGATAAAAGGTCTTTTTATGTCCGTGAAGACAAAGCCTCTTGTTTAAAAATGGAACTGAATGAAAAACACAATTCCAAATGCCCTGGACTCAACTACTAAAAGCAAACAAAAACCCACCCTCACTCAAGAAAAAACTGAAAAGCTCCCCTGCCCCCCAGCTCAGTGTGCCAGTGTTGGTGTAATACCTCTGCATTGCAAAGAAACTGTAAAATTGCTTTGGGAGCTTAGCAGTCCCTGTCAACTTATAACTTTGTGGCCCACTAGCCTTTTCATATACTGTTTTGTTGTATCATAACATACTTTCCCCTTCCCAGACAGCTATAACAAGGTCGCTGTCTGCTTTTTCTCTGTTAGTTCAAATTCTCCCTCTCCTCAAGCAGAGAAACAGAGAAGGAAGAAGCAATATGAAAACTGAGAGGTAGAGGTATTTTATAGACCTACTGACTGAGCTGAACAGCAAAAGGGCTGGAAGGGAAATGTTTTTTTTAAGTGAAGACCCACACAAACAAGTGCAGAGCATATCCAGAGTGTGATATTTCACTCATAAAGTCAAACAGAGCAGATTTTTTAAAAGCTCTCGGCTTATGGTGGTGTTTGCTGCATGTTTTGGTGTTAAAGATGTTAGTCAGCAGCAAATTAAATTCCAATGAAGTGGTTTGTCGTGGTTTAGCCCTAGCCAGCAACTAAGCACCACGCAGCCGCTCGCTCATTTCTGCAAGTGATGCACAATGCAATTGCTCACCACCCACTGACTGATACCCAGAGAGATCCCGAGCAGCGATTGCAGCCTCCCGGCCAACCCCCCCAGTTTATATACTGAGCATGATGTCATATGGTATGGAATAGCCCTTTGGTCAGTTTGGATCACCTATTCTGGCTGTGCCCCCTCCCAGTTTCTTGTGCACCTGGCAGAGCATGGAAAGCTGAAAAGTCCTTGACTAGCATAAGCAGTACTCAGCAACAACTAAAAACATCAGCGTGTTATCAACATTCTTCTCCTACTAAATCCAAAACACAGCACTACGCCTGCTACTAGGAAGAAAATTAACTCTATCCCAGCCGAAACCAGGACATGGCTAGATAATGATGCTTTTGGAAATCCTTTTTTAAGGGCAGTCCTCATGGTTTGAAAATGAATTGGTGCAAATGAGGATTAGGAAGAAGGCAGAACTTGTGAAGGAGGGTTGGCTGAATTTTTAGTCTTGTAGCTCGGTGTCTGCTGCCTGGCAGCTCATGCCACCTGCTTGTGTAGCCAAAACTATCTCCATTCACGATGGTGTTCTGTTGCTGCCAGTTGTGAAATCCACCTCCCGTAGCATGCACCAAGCTTGCTCAGAGCTGACTTCTTTGCTGAGCAACTCCTTTATCCCCTGGAAATAACAGCCAGGTTTTGGTGGCACTGAGACTCGGGCTGCAGGGGCACCTGTGGGAACGCTGCAGGGAAGGGGCTGCTTCAGGAACAGGATAGGTCCCAAGCTGTCAGTCTTGGCATTCAGCAAGATGGGCAGCGCTGTCCTGCATCTTGCAAGGACCTGCACGGTAGCATTTCCTTGGTCAACTTGCCTGACTGGTAATCTGTGAAACAGTATAAAAAATTTACTACGGTGCTTCCCCCCTGCATCAGTCCGATGCAGCTTTGCATCATTGTTGCAGTACGAGCCCAATGATGAAGTTGGCTGTCTTGCTGTTGGTGGCTTTTACGGACTGTTAAACATCTTGTGTCCGCTGGCAGCTCTGCAGATGCTGGGAGGTGGGGTCTGTGCTTTCCTTCATGTCTCTGTAGTGATGCAACTTCTTGTTGACTTTCTCTGCTAGCACCTGTCTGAGCTGCTTTCCCAGGCTGCCACACCTGCCCATTATTCTCATCTCTAACAACTTCGTTCTTTCCAGACTGAGTGAAGTGTTACAGAAATGAATACTTACTGCTACAGGCAAACTTGTGTTCTTAAGCTAACAAGTGCTTGTGAAGGCAGCTGGGAGCAGCAGACAAAAGAGGCTTGCTAATCAGAGCACATGCGTTTGTGAAACTGAACCTCTTCGCTTGAGCAGTGAGCCAGCCCGTTCAGGATCCTGCCTTCTGACAGTCTGTAAACCTGAGTTCACCCCTCATCCTTTTGCTTACAGAGGAGGCAGCAGCTGTGTCTGTTCCCATAGGCAGAGGAGGAGCCTTTTATTTCTCAACTTACAGCGACTGTAGCTAACAAAGTGGGAGCTGGAAAAACTTGGGATGCAAATCTCATTTGAAGTTGCACTGAGCCTGCTGAGATCCCCATTTTTAAAGAACCTGAGCTAGAGCTAGCATGTGTGCTAGAATGTGCCTATCGGTGCCTACCTTTTTGTTCATGCACAGGGATTGCCCTGTTTTACATTGTTCCATCAATAGCTTGGTCGTATTGACCAAAGTGCCAGCAGGACATCTGATGCTGCCGTCACGAATGTCGTGGGAATGGGACATGGGACACTGGCCTTTTCCCATCCTTATGGTGGTACATCCTGTCCAGGCTGGCTGGGTGGCATCTAATCAGTGCTTGGAAAGGAGGATTAGAGCAGATGGGTGTAGGAACTGTATGCTTCATCCTCTCTGTTTCTTAAACAGCAAGCAGATCTGATCAAAGCGGAGTTTCTGCATACTGGGGGTTTGAGTGTGGCTGATGCCTGCTGTTCTGCACTTGCTTGCGTGTTCCTGCTGTGCCTTGTTCAGGAGGGTGGAGGGGGTCAGTGGCAGTGCAAACAGCCTGTTGCTTACATGATTTACTGAGAGACTGACTCTGGGGAAATAGGCAGGTGTCTATTCAAACAGTTTTCTTGTAGAAAAGCAGACTGTTTCCTTTTTGCAAACAATATCAGTTATGCTGCTTTGTGCAAAAAGACCTTTTTCAGTTACTGTTCAGAATCATTATGTGGGTTTGGTAGCTGTGTGTTCTTGGGAGACAGGCAGGCAGAGCGCATTCAGTATGTCTTGCATTAATATTTTAACTCTGGATTCTGATTTTGTTCAAAGTTGTGGAAAATCCCTGGAGATGTGAGTTTTTCTGACCTACAGAACACACTGGTAGCAGGTATCTTAATGTGTGCAGAACAGCATTGCCCATAAAATAAATACACAGAGCTAAACATTAACAAGGCTAATGGGATTTTTGACTTGTTAAGGAGTGCATTTCCCATCTTCTGATTTTCACACATCTGTTTTCTTAGTGAAAAGATATATGTGGCTTCAAGAACTGTAGTGACCTTGGTACTGATTATTGCTATACTGCTGTTCAAAACTGCATGCATTTGAATGCAGCCTGGTTTCACAGTGTCCTCTTTCCCTCTTTAGGTACTCTCTAGATGCATGAAATGGCCAACATCATGCAAATGTCCAAAGATGAGCTGGAGGAACTCAAGGAGGCCTTTGCCAAAGTTGGTAAGTCACAGTGAGGAGGGCACCTTGCTCCTGTCTGCTGTAAATTTGAAATGGATTTATCCCACCCCTGTGAGCAGCAGTGCCAGCAGGATGTGTGCAGTCTGCTGCTCTCGTGATCTTCTCTGTGCCAAGGAGTCCCTTGGCAGCCTTGTTGCTTCTGGCTTGTCACTTCTAGCCAAGGACCACAAAGGAAGGGACATGGGCAGTCTGGCTGTTGGTGAGCAGAGGCAGACAGCCTTACGCTCTTGCTCCAGGGTGGGCTTTGGTGGTTCCTGATGGCAGCAGAAATATCCAAACAGGTATTGTGTTACTTTGGCCCAGGCAGCACTTCAGGGCTTGCACAGTGCTTGGGTCTGATGATGTTCATTTTGGCAGGTTGGCTGAGCTGTGCAGATGGTAAATGTAGGTGTTGTGCTTCTGTTTTGTGCAGGTGCATTTGAGGCACTGCATTTGGTGAGCTTGTAGTGAAAATCCTGATTAGTGTCTGTTTACCTGACCAATTATGGAGCAACTTGGGGTGATAGTAAAATGCTTTGCGGCTGCAGTGCACGTGCATTGTCCTCTGGTGGCTCTGTTTCTTCTCTGGTTCTCACCTCCCTAACAGCCTGTGGTGCTCGAGGGGTTGCACAGCCCAAGCTGCTCTGCCTGCCTTCCAGCTTTCCCCTGCGCTGGCATTGCAGAAGCCTCTGGCAGGCTGCTTCGGGAAGCTGAAATGGGCAGAAAACTGACGTCATGGAGAAAATTGTTTTCTGTTGGTTTGGTTTCCTGATATGGCTTACTGGAGGATCAGAGAAATGCCAGGGAGGGGTGGGATGGGAGCTGGACTGCAGCAGCGTGGACTGAGGTCAGCGTACGCAGCTGAGGAACCACACCCGGGACCGGCACTGGCCGGGAACAAGTTGCACAAGTGATCAGAGCCAGTGATTTAGTTTTCCGAACTGGACATCGGTATCACTTGAGCACTGGTTATAGATACAAATTGGTAGTTGCCTCACATCTGTATCAGGTGAACTGCCCTCTAGAGCAGGGTGGCTCTTGAAACTCTCACTTGCTCTGAATTTGCAATCTTCAGAGAGAAATATGAATTTCAAAGACAACTGATTCTCAACGAGCAGTATTCCCTGTTGGGACTTGAAGCAAGCTGCATTTTAGACAGTTCTCTCTCCTGCTCCCTCTTCCCGAGACTGTTCCAGCAGGTGGAAGTGAGCTGCTACAGAGGCAGATGAGTGACCATCATGCTTCTCGCTGCCTAATATGCCTCTGAGTGCAAACCTTAATAAGGCTGGGATGCAGGCAGCCAGTTCTGTCCTTGGATAAAATTAAAATGATTGACCTGGCTGGAATGTGGTAGATTTTTGTCATTAGCATGTGGGGAAATTATTGAGATTAGGTTGGCTGGCTGCCTTTGCACTGGAAACATGGAGAAACGCAAGTTTGTTTTAGGAAACCAGCTCACCCTGCTCAGGAGGTGGGACCCTGTTTGGTTTCAAATTATAAAAGCAGTGTCAAAACTTAGATATTATGTGGTAATTAATGTGATACTTAAATGTAATAATTAGCTTGGACATACCCACACCGAGATGGGATCTGCTAGTCCTTTTCAGCTGCCTTCTGTTTTGTGTGCTTTAGGCGTGGTATGGCCTGCAAACATTGCTGTGGGACGCGCATGTCAGGAGTGCCTTTAATGCTCTCATTCCTTTTATTCTTGCCTAAAGGAGCCATATTTGCCCTGGGATATAGAGCTGGTCACTAACTGGGTGGCTGACTTTCACTGGGAGCTTCTAATGCCATCTCTAGTGAATGTGAAGAAAAGTTGGACTAAGGCTGCTATTTAAAATGAAGCCTTTCTTTCCCAGCTACCTGGAAGACTTGGAATGTAGCTGAGAAACATGATTGGCTTCTAGGGTATCGGAAGGAGATGTGGGGAGGAGGAAGGGTCTCATGGGGTGGTTTTTGCTCACCAAGATGTGCCCCACTCCAATGTGGGTCTGCATGGGCTTCCTGGAGACCTGTTTTAACTCTAGCATGGGGCGAATTGCTGCTCTGGATGTGCAGGTTTATGGGACATTAAAGGTGTGTGTTTGACCAGCTTTTCTATATGCAGCTGGACTGGATTGAGACATCTTGGTGATGCTGGAAGGCAGTGAGGTGTGTTACTATGTGCTCTGTCACTACTTGCCTTCCATGCCACTTGAAGGTATCCTTCTCTCCCATGCAGCTGGTGTGCTGCTCTGACAGCCAGCAAAAGGCAAGAGTCTCATAGACTACCTACTACTTACTAGAAGCAGTCCATGGGTGAGAAACCATGGTTTAAGGTTAGCACTAAAGACAGCTACAGCTCAGACAAGTAGCTCCCAGCATCCTACAGCCAGGTATTTGTATTGGAAGTGGTCCAAGTGGTAAATAGCAGTGGGGAAGAAGCATTTTAACATCTGAAAAAAGTAATGAAGTGAAGCATAAGAACAGTCTAGGCCTTGAATGACCCACAGGTTAGTGGGAGAAGAGCAGGTTGCTCCAAATCTCAGCTGATCTCTGAATTTGTTCTGTAGAACAGGTGTGTGTATGGCACTTGGCCAAAGAGTGGCACTTCACAGGGGAGGCATGGCAGAACAGAATCTGCAAACTTACTCTGTTTTTTTTGTCTTCTTTCTCCCTGCTTCTGGTAGCAGAGATAAGCATCTCTTCTGGAAACACAAAGTACTTAAAAATCGTAACCCAGCTGAACACTTTGTTCGCTGCTGCAAGGTGGTAAAACAATGCTCTGAAATGTTAGCTTAAGACAAGTAGGGATCTGTGATCCTGCTAGAGTGTGTCCTGCTGAGCATATATCCTTAAAAGGAAACATGTGGGTTACTTTCCCCTCTTGCATCCTGTTATTTAAGCTATTTTAAGTACTTGTCTGGAGGAAGCTGAGCCAGAGCTTGAAGCAGCTTTTGGGGTTTGTTTATTGCGGCTTTGCTGCGCCACCTGCATATGGGCAGAAGATGGTGCCGTACATCACTGCACTGACCTTTCCCAGGTTTAGTATGCTGGCATGCATGCGTCTTTCAGTAGAAATAGGAAACTTCAGATGTGCTGTAGTTTCCTTTCTGTCAGGCAGATTGTAGTGGATCCAGGCTGTAGCTTGTCTGTTAAAATGATTTTGCTTTCTTCCATTAGTAATTCTGGGCCATACGCTGAAGGGTTTCATTTGTGATAGCTTCTATTTTGACATCTTCAGCTGTTGAATACCATTTCGGATTTTGTTAGGGATTTTAGACCACCTTCCGTCTAAAGTCTGTCCCTGTTGCAGGACATCCAGCAAGGCACCATATGGCAGGCCTGCAGTAATGCTGGAAATAATTATGGAACTTGCTGGTGCTGCAGAGATGACTACTTTTTTTAATGCTGCTACTTTGTATGTTTGACTGTGTTGCCAGAGTGGGAACAGAGACAGGAGGAAGGGAAGCAGCTGCCCTGTGGGATAGGGCTCTTAGGCCTATTTGTCATGTTTACAGGGGTAAAGGCTTTTTGACATGTGAAGAGAAGAATGGGTCCATATTCTATCACATAGTCAATCACTAGTTAAGGTTACTCAACTCTGCTACCAAGCCAAAACCACAGGCTAGCACATCCACCAGGCTTTAACATTTAAATCTGCCCTTCTGTGGCCAAGAAGCTAAAACTTGAAATGAGGGCATCTTTACTGCAAAACCAGTAACTTGGTGTGGGGTCTTGCAGTTGAACCAACAGACCTGTCTTGCTCGTAAATCCCACTTCCAAAGTGTCTGGGACATAGATGCCCTTTTAATCTGTGGCGTAAATCAGTGGTTAATTTTTATTTTCCCCAGGATACTATGGAAGAGTAACTCTTACAGGTGCATGTTTGGGATGTTGTTAAGGGTTGGAAGAACTTAGGTTCTGAGACCCAAGGGTTTTGAGTCAGTTAAGGTACATTACTCAACAGTGTGTGTCCTTCACGCTTGATTACGTGCTGGCTGTCTGAGCCCAATGCAGATGCTGAGAGCCACTGGTGTGCAGCCCCTCCTGATGAGCAGCATCTTTTCTGGTGCCATGCTCCTAAGTCACATGCGCTCACATCTGAGTGTGCATTTCAGATGTCTCTTCGTGCTGCAGAGCTGCCAATTTTTATTTTTTTTTCAGGGAGCAGAGGAAAATCCTCTTTGAACTAGGCACATTGGGAGGACTGGGAAGATGCTCCTTTGCCAAGGGTGAATGAAACCCTCAGAATGGGCAGATGTTGACTCAGAATGCAGTAAATACCTGATATCTGCCCTGCAGCCAGTTTTGATGCTTTCAGGCTGAGATTGAGGTCTGCTGAGCAAGTGTGGATGGACCAGACAATGGCCTGGGCTAACTCCTCAGTTGCAATCAGTTCAATCAGTGTTTTTAAGTTATGGTTTCTGTTTTGCAAGCAAAACAATATAAATGCAAGGCTGGGGATTAATTCCTTGAAATAGATTGTGCCCTTAAAAGACATGCAGGGCTTCATATGTAGAACTGAGATCTAAACAGTTTTAAGCATCCTTTTACCCATGCATCTCCCCAGTGTATTAGAGATGGGGACTTTGGAGCTTGATTCCCTACTGTCTCACCCAACAGGCTTCTGCCTCATGAAATACCATATATTGTATTTTTCCATTTCACTTCTGAATAGGCTCAGACATGGCACATGCAAGCCTGGTTCAGAAACACTTTTGAATGCTTAAGCTCGACATGTGAAGAGGAAAACCCTTACTAAGTCTGAATCGAAATCGCACCTGTGATCCTATCAAGGGTACAATATGTTTTTTGAAGTCTTATTTTTCTCTGACCTTTGCTTACTAACATTTGGGTAGATGTAAAACTTAGTTTTTTAGGTGGATTGATTGGAAGAAGTGATGAACAGGTGTTTCTGGATTTACCTGCTTAATTTGGCAGCATGGCAAAGGATTGTGGTCGGTTCAGTTAAGCACAGGCTAAAACAATGGGTGTTGGCTGTAGGCATGCTAAGGGTGAAAGCAAAGTTTTGTTTCAGGTCCGTAGGCCCTGGAGATTAGCAAATCCCTTGTCTGATTTTCTTCACTGGCTGTGAGGCAGGGAAAAGATGCATATTTTGTGGAGTTAGATTTAGTAATAAGAAAACTGTTACAGAAGAAGCTGTGATTTATCTAGAGGGGAAATAGTTTGCCGATGACATCTCAGGCTGGACCGTTTAATAAAGCTTGCCTTTGTAAGCTTATATTTTTTTGGAATGAAATTCTAAAATTGAAGGCCAGACAGCAGCCTGTTGCTATCATTAATCATTGGCCCAAACCACTTTATTTCATCAGCATTATTGTAAACACTGACATTTCATGAAGTAGTTTAATGTATTTATTAATCCACTGGAATTGATGCTCTTCTTTAGTTTGAGACCTAGGGACTGGGGTGTAGAAGAGAGTACAGGTTTGCTCTATGTTACTTTGGATGTTTGCCATTAAGCATTCAAATTTCACTTTCTTGCTAACTTATAAAACCAATTTAAAATCCCATATGGATCTGGAAAATAAGGAAGGTTGGAGTGGTGGTGAGGACATGCTGCTTGCTGGAACATTGCTGTGAAATAAAACCTAAAAACCATCACTGACACCTCATTAAAAGGAAATTGACTTTCAAAATTTGCTAAAAAAAAAAGGACTTTAGAGCTATCTTGATTGTTTTCTTTTATTCTTGAAAGTATCTCCCTTTAAGCATAAATACTGACCCCAGTGACTGTGGTGTGGGATTCCCTCTTGAACAAAATCAAATACTGGGACTGGTGCAGCTCTTCCATTGTGCAGCCTGGGGAGCTGGCAGTCGCCTGAAGTCTGCGAGGGTGTTTGGGCAGCAGAAGCTGCTGCTTGAGTGGAATTTAACTCTATGGCCTTAGGGAGAGGCTGCTGCCTTATAAATAGCAGAAAAATCCTCCCATGGGGGATATGGGCAGAACAGTGGCTGGGCAAAGCCGAGTGGGGCCAGGTGCCTTGCAGCACAGTGTGGTTTTGGCAGCTGGTGGTAGTGAGCCGCACTTGGCAGCGCACCATCACAGTGCCAGGAGCTATGGCGGTAGGGGAGAAGGTAACGCAGCGGCTTAAATGCAGAGACTGCTCTTGTTTAGCCTTAAAGGGCTCGTCTGATGTCTTCAGTACAGGCACTGTATCAACTTTGCAGAGCCTGTGGTTGAATGATGATCATAGGAGACTGCCAAATCTCTACCTCCTCAGTCCATCCAGGTATTCCCCACCAGCAGCAGTAATCCAGGGTTGGTATCTCCCCACGGCCCTAGCCCTGGTGAAGAGATGGCAGTTCAGGCACTGAATTAACTTCCCTGGGCTGTCTCTACCACTTGCCTACAGCAAAGGGATTTTAACATCACTACTGAGCTGGTAACAACACAACATACCCTGAATCCCTGTCTCTCCAAATATGCTGGAGGGTTATGCTTGTCTTGGGATATGAATCTGGGCTGTCTGACTGCTTCAAATGCTCTGGCTGCTCGTGGACCCAACTCTGCCAAAGCCTGGGTATCAGCCATGCTGTGAACCACGCTCTCTGCTCATCCTGGTTAGCCTGAGGAAGGAGGCACCCAGCCCATGCCTGTCCATGGTGGAGGCAAAACCTCACTCGCCTGAAGAAAGGCTAGGGCTGTTGGATTTGCCCTGTGCAGTCAATAGATGTGATGATGTCCCCAAAGGGGTTGGGATCTCTTGATGTGAAAAGCTCCAGATTCACACTAGATTCTTGTTTTCTTCCCAAATCTAGTAGGCGACAGCGTCTCACTAAGCATGCAGTACTGCTGTGGCTTGGTGGTTGACTGTCAGAGCAAATGTCCTTGCAGAGCATTCTTGGGCAGCATTAAAATATCTAGCTGCAATTTTCTGTCAGTGATAAGTGGATAACATCATTACCAACATGATAAAAAAAATGCAAATGCAGAACTGACTTAGTGTTTTCAGTTCAGAAAATAAGAAGTGCTGTGTTTCATTACCGTCTATTTTTAACACGCAAAGCCAGCTCTGCAGTTAGATGTAAAAAGAAACGCTCTGGAAATCACTTATGAAAACACAGATGCTCTCTGGTGAAACTTCTACACCAGACTTGGTTGTGTGTGCCGAGAGCCATCCTGGTCAGCTCTGCTTTGAAACTGCTGTTGCCCAGAGCTGGAGAGATCTGGCTTGCGATGGGACCCTGTCTGAGGATGCGCTGTGTGTATTTACTGCATGCCTTTGATTCCTGGTGTATTCTTGGTGGTGTCCATTGAATAGTGTACTACTTGGGCTTGGTATTTTTGGTGTGGGCATCCTGCTGTGTGTTCGTGTCCTGCGCAGATCTTGCTTTCAGCAAAGATGAATGCTCTGTGCAATATGGTCCCAAAACAGGTATGCTGTGATGGGCCACTCTGGGAGATTCCTCTGTACCTTCATGTCTTGTAGATGTCCCCAGCATGCAAGTTGCTCTCCATAAAGCACTTTTGAGCATGGGGGCTTTGTTTCTGCCCCGATGACTGGGGATGGTCCTGTCAGGGTACTGGCACATTTCTAAAACCTTCTCCTGCCCCTTCTCCAGACCTCAACAGCAACGGGTTCATCTGTGACTATGAGTTGCACGAGCTCTTCAAGGAAGCCAACCTGCCTCTCCCTGGGTACAAAGTGAGAGAGATCATCCAGAAGCTCATGATCGACAGTGACAAGAATAAAGATGGGAAGATTAGTTTTGAAGAGTTTGTCTATGTAAGTGGTATTTCTGAATTTCCAGCAGCCTGGGGGGACCCCTTTTAGACAAAGCTAAGGAAGGGGATAGAAGAGGTTGAACCTGGCTTCTCGGTCACTTACCCTAATCCTAGTTTCCTTTCTACAAACTGATCACTTTTGAGGACTTGCCATGTAAAAAATCAGTTCTTCATACAGGTCTCTGCATGTGACCAGTCTTTTGTGCTGTCACTGCCAGCCTTTAGATTTGGACAGAGGGGAAATATGTTGGTTCTTAAACAAAAACCAAAAAGAATCCACATGCTTTTCCTATATGAAAACTTCACTGGAGGCTGAAAGACCATTTTCACATGAGGTGACAACTGGAAAAAAGACTTCCAGTTCTCCAAGCTTACAGTATTGACTGGAAGCTACTCAGTTTTTCCAGGCACATAGATGAATGCTTGTTTTCCCAGTGAAGCAGTATAATTTCCTTTCTCAGTTTAATGGGACTACAAGTATTTGCTAAAGATTTGAGAGGGCATTTCAAGACATGCTTGGAGATTAGTACTAGATGCTGATCTAGAAAAATTCAGATCCGTTTGTTGCCTTAAAAGGGAAGAAAAGGAGTAAGGAGATAGAAGTTGGAGGATAGGTCTAACCTTCAGCCTTTTTCTGTAGAAATAGGTCAGAATTTTTTTTTATTTGTTTTTAAAAGCACAATGCTTCGTCTGAGATACTGGTTCAATATCCATCCCTTCATCCTTTTTATACTCTGACTGAATGCTGAAAGAGTAATAAAAGTATGTGCAGGACATTGAGGGAGCTGTTTTCATGTCAACTATTTTTCTTGATATTTCTTAATTTATCTTTCTTCTGATCCTTAATTGTTTTCAGACCCTCTGAACTTTTGAGTTCGGAGTCAACTAGTAAGTTGGAGTTTGTCTGCAGTTTGTGTACACTTGCATGCTGGGTGCATGTTTCAACTGTTGGTTTGAGCTGGTCCATAACTAACTTTGCACTAGGAAGGAAGAAATAAATCTCTTCTGTCAGATTTGAATGATACCAATGATCGAGTAAACATGAAATGTCTTACAGGCAACTAAGCTATACAGTAGAAGCAATGGTCAGTTGTAGGATTTTTACAAACAGAACTGTTGCTGTTTTCTAACTCTGAGCACTTCTGCTGGGGTTTATGGTACAGAGGATGTCATGAGCTGACTTGTGGTTGGGACCAAGTGACTTAGTGGTACCTCAGCTTACCCTCCTCTCTTTTTAACAGAAGCACTTTGTTCTGCTTTACAGTGCTGTTTCATTGCCTTTTTCTGGGTTTTAGAGAACCTGTATACATGTCATTTGTGTTTTCAGCGTGGTTGAAACTAATTTGGTTAAGTTTTGAGGGAGTTACAGTAGGCTTTCAAGCCATTGAATGCATTTTTTCTAATAGTTGCTCAGTTCTGTAGGACCTCAGAGCCATTAATAGTAACATACAACCTGCACAAATGGCATGTGTAATCTTTCTGTGCTAAAGCATCTCTTCTGCCCTCAAACGTGAGGATGTTTTGTCAGTTAGCCCAAGCCTACTGTTGGAGGAGGTGGAATCTTTACCTGGAGTGCTTGTTGTTACACATTATTGCAGATTTGACTGTTGTACACTTAAAGAGAATTGTTTCTTGGGTTGTGGATGAAATCTTCTGTGTTAACTAAAGTCACAGTCACACGAGCACCTGGCTTATGGAGAAAGGTTGAAATTGCACAACAGCTTTCTCAACTTTGGTCCTGCGGAAACTGCTGCATGTGTACCTGCTCTCAGACTGCAAAGGTTTCATGTTTTTTTCTCATGGTCTCTTGAAATCTACTTGAACAGGTAAATGTATGCAAGGTACTTCATGCCTAATGCTTCCGTTTCAATAGGCACTTGCAATGTGTTTGAGAGAGGGGGACAACTCTCTACCCACTATCTGTGTTAAGTTTAATACCACTACACCTTTGCTGAACTCTTCATAATTGCTGATTTTACTACAAAGTTTGCTTTAAAGCTGAGAAGAAATAGCTGCTTCTGTGGTCCTTTCATTTTATGAAGACAAGTTTTTCTTGTCTAACAGAGCACTTTAAATTGTAGATTTTCCAAGAGGTGAAAAGCAGCGATATTGCTAAAACATTCAGAAAAGCAATTAACAGGAAGGAAGGAATCTGTGCAATCGGGGGGACCTCGGAGCTCTCCAGCGAGGGGACACAGCACTCCTACTCAGGTATCTCTGCCTTTCAGCTCCTCTCTTCAGTGAGTGGAGGCTATATGCCAAAAATAGTAGATTTCTACTGCCCTGCCATGCGCTGTGCTTTTGTTATCTGATAGCTGAATGATCTCATGTCAAGGTGAGAGCAGGACAGAATTAGAGGGTAATGCAAGATTAGCAGTGTGTAAATTAAATGTGTGCTTATTTGTTTTGTTAACTGTGCTGATGAAGTCCTTGTGTCACACTTGAATATAATGAAGTTGTTGAGTAACGAGTAAATAACAGGAATATTCTGGTAATTCAAAATGAAAGTCATATTTCTTTAAACCTTGTGTGACTAATAAAATAGTGTGTTAGTGATAGTGGGGCTTTCCCTGGGCTATTGCACACTGATTGTTTTGGAAAATCTTTGCTATGATATGAAAATGCCTGTATTAAATTTACAATTGGTTATCTTAGAGGAAGAAAAATATGCCTTTGTAAACTGGATAAACAAAGCCCTGGAAAATGATCCCGACTGTAGGCACGTTATTCCAATGAACCCAAATACAGATGACCTGTTCAAAGCTGTGGGAGATGGGATTGTGCTATGGTAAGTCATGATGGCTCCTGAATTTTAAAAACAAACAAACAAAACAAACCACAAAAATAACGTCCCAAAACTGTAGTTAGGGGAATTGTCATCCTGTTTTAGGCTGGTTTTGTGACTAGTGTGTGTGCATAATGTTTTGCACATATAAGAAGGGGCTCAGTTGCCCAGGCTTTCATTGTCATTGTGTGATGCTTCAGCTTTGATGCCAGCTTCGCAAGCTGCTATTTTTGTCCAGTGTTTTTGTTTGGGCTTGAGGCTGAGTTTGCTGAAGGGGAGAAGGTGCCTTGCGGGAGCAGAAGTTGTCCTGGTGCAGACTCAGCCTGATGCGAGGTAGCTTAGGGGAGTGTTAAATAGCCCATTTTCATGGATGTTTAGACAGACGGTAACCTCTATGGGAATGTTGGTGACCTTATGAATTAACCCAAAAATGGATTTCCTGGGAATCCTCTTGTTGTTTTTGATAATAGCTGCACTAAGTTAGTAAAGTAACTTATTTTGCTGCATGTTGAAAACAGAAAGCATCCAGGGCTGCTGAACACCAACCACCTTCTATTTATGGGGTTTCTTTTGGTTTTGTGTTTTTGGTTTGTTTTTTAAATGTAAGTGAATTAATATAGTGGAGAACTGAATCAGCCTGTAATTTCAGTAACTCTGTATCAATACGCAAAAGATGTTTAGTGAGCTGCCCGTTGCCTTTAATTTCTTTCTTTCTTTTTTTTTTTTTTTGTTAGCTTGTGATTTGTTTTAAATTTCCTCATTTTCAAGTCATTCAGGTCTTCAGGTGAAGACTGAACTGAGTAGGAAGTAGTTCATAATATAAAGTAAAAACTTGCCATGTTTTCTGTTGACTAAAAATTTATTGTGCTCACATGCTCTACTGAGCTCTCAAAGTGTTTGCGCTTTTTTGGGGGCAGTTTTTTCTTGCCAGCAGCAGTACCCCTTTACAATAGGAGGAAGTGTGTTGTCTTGCTAGAATCTGCAGTGGATGTCAACAGAGCAAGGAGTCTTCACTAGTTCAGTGACTGCACTGTGAATAATTCATGTGCTCTTTTTGCTCCACCAGCTGAGATCAGTAGTGGCCAGTAACATGTTCAAGGTTTCAGGCTTAGCTGTTAGTTACAAATACATTCTTGATAATGTAAATATTAACTTCTGATTTATACAACCTTGATTTAAAAAAAAAAAAAAACAAACCAAAAAAACAACAAAAACAAAACAGACAAAAGGAAATATACTGTTGTGAGTATTGTAACAGTGCATTGAATTTTATTGAGATTAAATACTAAATGTTGTTCAAATATTATTGTTTTTTCCTCCTACCAGCAAAATGATCAATCTTTCTGTTCCGGACACAATTGATGAAAGAGCAATTAACAAGAAGAAACTCACACCATTCATAATACAGGTATAATACATTTTTGTATTTTTGCTGAAATGCATATTCAGATAGAATGAATGGAAACAGCATGGTGGCTCAAGGCGTTATTGTGGAACTCTGGAAAGGAGGGAGTTTTATAGCTTGCATTTACTTATTAATGCAGCTTTGTACTGTGCATAATTGATAGTGCTGTGGGTACAGTTCAAAAGACAAAAATGCTAACTTAATGACAAAATGGGTAAAATGGCTAAAATGCTGTGCACACCTGATATTGCTGCGGTGATTATATATAGTGCTGTCTTTTTAAAACAGTGTGGTTATTGGCGTTGGCTATCTATGAATCATTTCCCAGTACGACAGGTTGTTTTTGCGAGGATGCCTGTGCGTGCATATGCGTATAACGTAACGCTTCTCTGGCCTTATTCTTGTTGATGCCACTAGATGCGACTAACTCAGAGGCTGAAACTAAATACCAGCGGCTGAAATCGAACCCTGTTGCCTAGTTCAGTTCTTACTGATTCAGCCTGCTGCTACCACAGCTCTTTTAAAACTTCAGCTGGAGAGCAGCTGGGAGTGTTTCCTCTGAGCTGCCGCTGTTGGAGCAAGGACAAGGGGGAAATCTCTGCTGTGCTGGTGCTGGATGAAAGGTAAAGCAGCACCTCCCCTGGCTGTGTCTCACTCTGCTGTGCTGTTCACAGGAGAATCTGAACCTGGCGTTGAATTCTGCATCTGCCATTGGGTGTCATGTTGTCAATATTGGTGCAGAGGACTTGAGGGAAGGGAAGCCCCACCTGGTCCTTGGGCTTCTCTGGCAGATCATCAAGATCGGCTTGTTCGCTGACATCGAGCTCAGCAGAAATGAAGGTAAATGAAACTGTAAGTGATTACTTCTAAAGCATGAACACCGCATGGCTTGTGCTGTCAACTCCAGCCCATTGCTGCCTCTTCCCTCCCCTCCTCTCTGCTGAAAGTGAAGCACTCGCCTTCGGGTTCATCAGGGTATGTGCCAAGCTGAGTGCTCTCCAGCCTCTTTATAGCTGTGAAGCAGGTTCAGGCAGGTGGGTCATGCCATCCTGGTAAGGTGCGTCAGCCTTGGAGAACTGGCTGAACACAAGTCAGTAAGTTAAGATGCATCTTAGCTCAGGCCTTGCAGTGCATATAAGTGCGTTGCTTTGTGATGCCTCAGGCTGGGCAGGCTCTCCTGGTGTGCTTTGGCCATAGGTATGAAATGGTGTTTGGAGGTGGGAAAAGCTGCTTGCATGCTTTTAGTGTTATAGACAACTGCGCATCTTCCTCAAGGAGAAAAAAAAAATGGAGGAGGGCTTCAGGTCTTTGGGAATGTGTTTGCAATGACTTAGTTCTCCTAAAATCCTCCTTGCTACTGTCAGTGGTGCAGCTGAGCTCTTGCTTCATTCTTGGTGGTGGGAGAGCAGTGCTGCAGCTCTCCCCTTGTGCTTGCTTGGTCCTGCACGACAGCCTCCAAAATTTAAACTTTTCAAATCATTCCAAGGGCTCTGTTATTCCTGCATGGTCTATCAGAGCACCCAGATGAATGGAGGGGTTTCAGTGTCTTTTATTTGAACTTCCCAATCATGAAGTGGTAACATTGGTTTAGATTGAAAATTCATGGCAAGGGAAGAACCAGCCAGCTGAAAGAGTGCTCATCTTGGCTTCTCTGGCTTTTTTTAACAGTGCATATGAAACTGCTTGGAAGCACTTTTTCATTGAGATAAAAGTACATTTACATTTAGCTTACTGTCATCAGCTTAAAAGACTGCACGTAAAATCCAGAGAATTTTGTTATACAAGAAAATGGAAAGTGCTTTTACACATGGTTTTCTAGATCATTCATACTCTTCTCCATGTAACAGCCAACTTGGGAAAACTCCACTAATGCCTGGATTATTTTGACTTAATCAGTAGTTGGTAGTGTCCTCCCCTTCTCCCCCTGAAATGTTGCTGCAGCTCTAATTCTGGCATGCAGGTTTGCCTCTTGAAAACTCCTTCCTTCCTTCCCCTCACAAGCATTTTTCTTCTAGCACTGGCTGCCTTACTTCGTGATGGTGAAAATCTGGAGGACCTTATGAAACTATCCCCAGAAGAGCTGCTCCTAAGATGGGCCAACTTCCACTTGGAAAACGCAGGCTGGCACAAAATCAATAACTTCAGCTCAGATATCAAGGTATTGAGAGCTCTCCTGGCCTGCACGTGCCTGGGAAAAGGCTGGGAGCTGGCCAGGGCCATGTTTGCATGTGTAAACGAGGCCCTTCATCTGCAGACAGGACCTTTCTTAACCTAAATACACTGAGCAGGCTTAACAGGGGTTTTATGGATGGTATATTTAAGGTACCACATTGCTGTTCTCTCTTGCCATGAGGCTGAGCACAGTGTTGAACTGTCTGGGTGTTTCCTCCAGTGCTAGTGGGATCCTGCTGCAAAGCTGTTGCATGTTTTAATTGAGTAGGAAACTGGTATTACTGCTGTGTTTTCAAATGTTCTTAATCCATCTTTTTAGATGGAAATAATTTTTCAAAGGCATGCAGCTCACTCAGGGTGAAATGCTTAATGACATCCCTGGAGAGTGCAACTTCCACACACTCGTGGCAGGTGATGGCATTTTATCCAAAAGGTCATGGACTGGAGAGAAGATGGGAAACAAGACCCCTTATGCTCTACAGTGGGCTGCGTAGAAATGGGAGTGGGGAGTCTTACAGCTGTTTTTCAGGTGTGAGGGGGTGGCTCTTTTCTCTCAGCACTAGTGAGAAATGGAGGGTGGTGACTCCTGGTCATGTGGTGGTTTTGGACACTGGTCTCAGCATGTTTCTGGAGCTTATTCATATGGCCAGCAGTTTTGAGGAGGAGAAAGAGGACTGAAGTGGATTCCAGGTTAAAGGACTGGTGAGGTAGAAAAAAAAAAAAATTATAATTGCATGGGGAGCCCAGAGCTCCCCTGTGTGTGTGCATGCATGCACGCATGTATGGCCACTCTTATTTCCAACTTCAAAATTGCTTACAGCTTTGCTGATAGCTGTTGGCTTGTTTGGTGCAACCCATAGGCTGCCAGGATGTGCTGAGGTCCTTCTTAAGGCTGAGGGCTAAAAGGACTTGTAGTTGACAAATAATTACTGCAGCTATCTGCTCCTCCTAGTTTGTGACCATCACTGGCCTCTCTCCTTTAAGCTACAGGAGAAAACATTCAGACTTCTTAAAGTCCAGGCAAACAGCTGATTATGTCTTCGCTGAGCCATTTTCATTGTTGCTGTAGCAGTAGGAATGGCTGCCTTGTTTAGGGGTTAGGGACACCTCGGGGCATCTGGCTGTGGAGGCCATGAGAGCAAGCAGCACAGGGTCACTGCCTCCTCCAGCCATTGGAGAGGAGGCTGTGACACCAGAGCTTGCAGCAAAGGCAGCTTTTAAACAGTTAAACTGCATAATTTTAATCTTAAATATTTCTAACCTTTTCCCTTTCTGTTTCCTTTTCTGCTGCCTGGATTTCTGCCATCATGCTCTCTTTTAAGCTTACAGATTTTGGTAATTCAGTAAAGGTACATAAGCCAATTATGCACAGTGATTTGTTGAAGATGAGCCTGAAATGAATTGTTACGGTGTATTCACTGCTGTGCGAGAGACCTGAATTTTCTTTTTCATCCATTTCAGGATTCCAGAGCTTATTTCCACCTCCTCAATCAAATTGCACCTAAAGGGCAGAAAGAAGGAGAGCCTCAGATTGATATTAACATGTCAGGTTTCAATGTAAGTATTGAAGCTGTCATGTCCTTGTGCTGTACAGTCACGAGCTACCTGTACCCTATGATAATTGCCCCATGACATCTAGGTAACCTGGTATCTTAATTTCTAGTGCGTAAAGTGTCAGTGGGCATGTGTGCGCCTTGGGCATGTCCTAAATAAGTGGTTGTTGCAGGCCTGATCACTACTTGTCAATTAACATATATAATTGAGAAATCATTTGTGGTTTTGCTCCATTTGCGAGCATGCTGACTTCTGCTTTTGAACCACCAAGTTCAAAAAGCGTAAAAGTTGGAAAGCATATAAACTTGGAAAGCACCATGCTAGGAAAAACACCAAGACAAACCAGGACAATTACATCCACAGCAGCAGGGATTAGTGTGCATGCTTCATCCCTTTTGTTTGATTAGTGACTGATACCTAATGAAGGTGGGTGGAGTTGTGACATTGCCCCAGGTAGCAGTCAGGAGCTTTGCATCTGCTTTGTAGTCCAGTCTCTTCCATGATAGCTCTTGTCTGTTGCATCCCTGGCAGGAAAAGGATGACTTGCAGAGAGCAGAATACATGCTTCAGCAGGCAGATCGGCTTGGCTGCCGGCAGTTTGTCACGCCAGCTGATGTGGTCAGTGGCAATCCCAAACTGAACCTGGCCTTCGTTGCCAACCTGTTCAACAAGTACCCAGCACTTACCAAGCCTGAAAACCAGGACATCGACTGGACCCTACTGGAAGGTGATGGCTGTATCAGTCACAAAATTATCAGGAGGGAAATATCTAAAGTAAAGTCTTGTGTCACAAGGGGCTATGCTCAGCAGAGGTATCTCCACTGAAGTAACACCTATGATTTGAGGCTTCAGTGCTGCAGGGGTTGTTTACTCATTTGGGGCAGATGAGAAGGGTACTTGACAGCCCATTCAGCTGCTCTGACCCTGATGCGGAGCCTGAACCTGTAGGAGCAGTGCCAGCAGCCCATCAGTCCCCATGCCAGGGCTGGGAAGTTGGTTTGCCATTTCCTGCGATGGGCAGGAGCACCTCAGTAATGCAGCAAGACGTTCATGGGAGCACTAATTGTTGGCAGAACTGACATTTGGGCTTGGCTGCCTGGCTCCCAGGCAGCAGTTAGCTAACACCCATATGAAAGACCATCCTTCAACTTTCTTGCAGAAAGTGCAAAAGGCCTCTTCCAAGGCCTGGAGAAATCAAACTGTTAGCCAAAACTAGATATCAGGGCAACCCTCTTCCTTTGAAAAAATTGTAGTAGAAAAAAATACCATTTTTCTGCTTGAAAAGCTAATTGATGAACTATGCTGCTCAAAGCTCCCTGTCTTGCAAGGTGGAAAGCCCTGCGCAGCTTTGAGCTTGCAGAAGTTGTATGAACCTGTTTTCTCTCATCTAGGAGAGACGCGTGAGGAACGGACCTTCCGCAACTGGATGAACTCACTTGGTGTGAACCCCCATGTAAATCACCTCTACGGGTAAGTGTTAGGCTCTTGAGAGAGACCCAACTAGATCAGACTAGAGAGGTGCCCGCACCAGCATCCTGTTGCCCATAGTGCCGAGCAAAGAGGTTGAGAAAGCATGATGGTAGCAAGTGGGAGATGCTCACTGTGCCCTCCCTGCAGTCCGCAGTTTAGCGATTTCTGAGACAGCACTTGGCACACCAGTAATTGACTTTAAGGGCTGAAGACAGGTTGTTTATTTTCCTCTATCTTATGTAAATTGTTACCCCGAGATCCCAATACATGTAGATCTGCTTGAGCAACCACATTAGAGCAACTGAAACTAAATTCCCTGTCACATAATTTTAGGGCTTAACCAAGACATAGTTAGGAGGCAGAATACTCTGAGTCCCTGTAGTCAGTGGAAAGAGGTGGCTACCTCTGGATTTTATGCAGCAAAATTATTCTCTGGATCTGTTGCTGATTACCATGCTGAAACCTGCTTTAGCTCAGCAGCTAGCTGATGTTAAGCATGAAGCGTTTCTCCTGCCCTGAGACCTACAAAATGTTTTGAATTTTTTTCTTTTTAGGGTTGTTGAAATTGCAACAACCTATAAAGAGTAGTAATTATTCATGGTTTGACAAAGTCAGAGTGCATTTAAATCTTGAAACATGAGGCTTAATCAATGTTTTCCACTTTAGCGATCTCCAAGATGCACTGGTAATACTACAATTATATGAAAAGATCAAAGTTCCTGTTGACTGGAATAAGGTTAATAAGCCTCCGTACCCTAAGCTTGGGGCAAATATGAAAAAGGTAAGCATTTCAAAAGACTTTAAAAGAAGCCATGGACACTAAAAATTCCTATTTGAGGCTTCCAGTCAAGTGAGTGTATTTATGAGTGATCTTCTGTTTAAACTCTTTTCCTGTGTAGCTAGAAAACTGTAACTATGCTGTAGACTTGGGAAAACATCCAGCTAAATTCTCCCTGGTTGGCATCGGAGGACAGGATCTGAATGATGGAAACCCAACACTGACGCTAGCCTTAGTCTGGCAGTTGATGAGAAGGTAGGACCCATCTCAAACATGTAAAACTTCTGAATGGAGTACAGAGTTTGGGAATTTTTTTGCCATGAGAGCACTGCAGCACTGGAGCAGGTCACCCAGAAGGATTGTAAAACCTCTGTCCTTTGGGGATTTCTGAGACACAGCTGGACAAAACTGTGGCAGAGCTGATCCTGCTGCACATGGGAGGTTGGAGCAGAGACCTCCAGAGAACCTGCTGGTGGATCTGTGAACATCCCTGCTGACAAGGATCACCTCTCTCTCGCCTGCTCAAGTCTGGTCCATATGCAGAAACCCTAAGCAGGAATATTTACAAAACTTCTACATTCTAATTTTTTATTGGAAACTGAGAGAGAAACATTCCAGGGCTGCTTTATAACCCCCTTCTGCATTGGAATGCGAGGAAGGAGAAACTTAATAATGGATAAAGTTGATCATCCTTTTTCTTATCTACTTCTGAAGAATTCTAAGATGATGCAAATATATATAGCTGCATGGTAGCTCCTTATTTGTCATTAGAGGTCAGAATGCTAACTCGTGAGTTGATCCACACCTTTTAGGTAATGTGTTAAGCCTATGGAGCAAATGGTCAACGGTGAAACAGGTTAACAAGTGTCCTGAGCCCAGGCAATTTTGTGATCTCTTATTAAAGGACTTGATAGCTAGAAAGACTAAATGTTTTAACAGAAATCACACTTCAGATAAGATAGATAGATGACTCTTCCTTTTTGCTAAAGGAGTTAAATATGTGGAGACTTTCCAAGCTGCCATGGGATGCGTTGCATCCTGGCTGCACGGTCACTGGGGTTTTGGCCAGGCTCTGTAACCAATCTTGTTCTCTCTGCTGGTTCTCAGATACACGCTGAATGTCCTCGAGGACCTGGGCGATGGTCAGAAAGCTAATGATGACATTATAGTCAGCTGGGTAAACCAGACCCTGAAAGAAGCTGGCAAGTCCACCTCCATCCAAAACTTCAAGGTGCAGGTTCTTCTCTTGCACCCAAAAGGAGAGGGGTGCTCAAAATTATTTCGTTGGCTGGAGGAACAGCAGGGGCACCTTAGAAAGGGGTTTAAGCAGGACAGGATTCAGTCTGTGCTGGGAACAAAGTGGCTTCAAGCTACCAGTGAGGAGACTTTTTAGGACTGCCCATGGTGGGGCATAGTGGTGGGGCAAGAGAGCTGATGGGGTGGCAGAGGAGGGGAGGGTGGTCGGGCTCTGGGGCAGAGGTGGGGGTTGAGATGCTGGCAAACATGGGGACTAGAGCTGGTGAGCATTGTCCTTTGGGGTCTGCAGGGCAGACCTGCTGCCTGCATGTCAGTCACTGCTGCATATTTTCAGAGCACTTGCAGTAAATTGGAGTAATGATCTTGTACTATTACCGAAGGAGAAGCAGCAGTTTTTGGTTTTCCTTGTGGTCCAGCTGGGCATAATCACTAACACTGCTGCTTTGAAATGGCTTGTTTAAAGCTTGTTTTGCTGCACATTGCAGAGCAGCTGAGTTGAGGTGAGCTTTAAGGATTAGACATTCATCTTTACTTGCCTGTCCCTGTGTTCTGTAGGACAAGACTATCAGCACAAGCTTGGCGGTTGTGGATTTAATTGATGCTATACAGCCTGGTTGTATCAACTATGACCTTGTAAAGACTGGTCATCTATCGGAAGATGACAAACAAAATAATGCTAAGTAAGTTTGCTATCTCAAAAGCTTTTTTGCATTGAAAGAGTCTGCATTCCATGTGCTGGCCTTAAGCTGCAAGTGTTTCTACCACAGTTTATTACTGTGGTTTTCAATCTCGTTTAACCCGTGCCTTTCAGACGGGCAGCACTTCTTGAAATCTAATTGCTGTCCTTGTCTGTAATGCTGGAGGGAGTAGTTGGCTGGACTGTCATGCTTGTTGAGAGAAATGCAGAACAGCCCAAGCAGTTCTTAGCAATGATATTCTGTTTCTCACCTGTCCAGGCATATGAAGCGCTCTGGGTTTTGAAATTGAACCCTCGTATGTCTCATGTCTCACTGAATCATCATAGGTTGTCAAGTTTAAAGTATGCCTATTAAAACATGCCTTTGAAATGTGTGATCTGCAACTGTTCTGCAGTGGCAGAATGACAGCAAAGTTTCTTGCAGATAATAGTCTCACTTGATTATTCCTAAAGAGCAAACAGAACAGGAAATATAAATGTTAGCTGATTAATCCTTGGTTATACATGCTATCTATTAGCCCTAACAAATATTAATTACAATTGTTTTAACTGTTGGTAAAGTGAACTTGATATTCAAAGGTCATTTTGCACATTAAAGACACTTTACTATGGAAAAGGAATACAGCGAGAGGTCAAAAAAAATTTATAAACCAAACAGATGTGATATGATTTGACTGTTGCACATCTTGAATCTTAATAAAGAGGATAATAGGTGACATTGTGTTGGATAGGGCAGGCGCTGACTTGTCATTTATTGGTAGCAGTCTAAGTTCTGACCCACTTATCTTTCCATGGTGAATAGGTATGCTGTGTCCATGGCAAGAAGAATTGGTGCCAGAGTTTATGCTCTTCCAGAAGATCTTGTGGAGGTGAAACCGAAGATGGTCATGACCGTGTTTGCCTGCTTGATGGGCAGAGGAATGAAGCGAGTATAAAAGGGTTGATCCATGTAAAGGGAAAAAAAAAAAAAAAAAAAAACCCAAACCAAAACGCAACAAAAACCCAACCTGCCACCCTGGATGCATGAGTAGCAGATCAGCTGTGACGACGTTGAAATGCTGTTGGCCTAGGAGCTGTTGAAGTTCAAAGGACTTTGTTTTGCTTTGCAAGACAAACTCTTATCAAAATTCTCAGGGAGAGGAGTTTTAACCAACAGACATGCTCTTTTCCCAAAGAAAGTTTAACTTATCAAGAGCTCACAGAAATGCATTCATAACAGACTTGCATCTTGCAATACTGCTCTGGAGCTGTTTTCACCCCATTATTTCTCAGATACTTGGTGTGTGGGGTTTTGTTACCTCTGAGGGCTATAAGGTGGTTGGTATGAGTTGTAATGGAAACAAATCTAATTTCTATCTGCAATCCAGTTAAATTTTTATCATATGGTCCAAGCATATTCTAGGTTTGACCACTTCCTTAACTTTGCAAATAAAGCTACAGTACAAGTTGGGACCTGCAGGCCAGCTCGCAATGCTACATGAGAAATGTGTAATTAGGAAGATGGATCTTCCTCTGGTATTCTGTGTACATGGTGCTTTTTTATACATCTAACTATTTGGATTACAAATAAAGCATGGCAGTTTTCACTTTTGCTGCTTATAGAAAGGATTTTTTTTGTTATTTTGTTTTGGTTTTTTTTTTAAAGTTATACTATATATGAGAATACCACCATCCTTGGACCTCTCACAGTAACATATAATACCATGTTGCTGATGGCACAGTTACACCTGAGAATGGAAGTGAATGCATTTTTGTATGCATCTTGGTTCAGTTCTGTGCACCTAGAAAATAATTTTTACAAAAATCTGCATGAAAACAATAACTTTTTTATTTAAAATGCTGTTGGATATAAAACCATACTACACTGTGGGGAGGTTTTGTGCAGGGAAGAGGCAAATGTTATAAACAGCAGGGTTCAATAAACTGAAGAGCAAATGTGATGGAACATAAAACTATTTTTACAGATAAAAGGAAGTGTTGTCGCCAAAGGAGGAAGATGCTGTATCCATAGGATTTAATATTATCTTGCTTTGGCAAGCTGTTTGCTATATTTTGAGATCATATTGCTATTCCAAGCTATTCACAGTGATGTAATATGGTGGCAAAGCATTAGTTGAAATAAAAACATTTTAAATACATGCGCTTCTCTTTATTTACACTGACCCAGCATGGCAGCCTGTCCTCAGTTGCTTTTAGCTTTGCTTTGGTTGATGTTTTTGTTTTGTGCCAGGTCCATTGATCTATAAGATACCCTAGAATCAGGGTGTGCTTGAAGAGCTCTTGCTTTTTAATATGGACCCTGGCGGTGTGGTTATTCTCAACCTGTGTTTTGGCGAGGCTTTGCCTTTATGGTAGCTTCTGTAAAACCTTGCGCTTTAATTCTTGTTGTGTGCCCAAAGAGGATGTCTGCAGGTGTAGGGGAAGAGCCCTGTTAGGGCAAAACCCAGAAGGAGGAAGAAAAGTTGTTCCCTGTGTCAGGGGTGTGCCATCCAGGCATGTTTCCAGAAACCACAGGTCTGGGGGCGTAGTGGCAGCTGACACAAGTCTGGCATGATTTGGGTCTCAGGGTGCTGTGGTAGGAGAGGGGATGCCCAGCAGACACCAGCTGTTAGGGGAGATTTGCCTGCTTGCTGTGTCCAGGAACAGGGCTGTGGGTGCTGGAGGGATGTGGTGATCCCAATGCACCAATTCCTTTGCTTGTGCAACCCATGGGTGAGAGCCTGGGTGTCTGGTGAGCTTTGCCAAAACAGTGGCCCGACAGCGCAGAAGTCCCCAGAACCACCAGTGGCTTTGATGAAAATCAAGAACAATTTGTGTGACACTGCATTAAACAAACTTCTGTGACCTTAACTATGTAAACCTGGTCCAGGCTGTCCTCCTCCTGACCTGTCTGGAATGATTCTGCCTGCCCCTCGCCCTGGCCCAGTGGTGAAAACAGGTAGGTGAGTTTTGTGCAAGAGGCGTGTTGCAGTTTGTCTGCTGATGGAATGGTGATGAGTTTGTGGGTTAACCCAGATTACAAGTTGGTGCTGGGCCTTCTCTTTGGACATTGTTTCTGGGCAAACAAGGTGGCACAGCTGTGGGCTTAAGCCATTTCAAAACTCCTACAAGCCAAATGCTTGGAGGAGCATGGGAACCCAACTACCAGATATGTCATTCCACATCCCATGCTCCAGGTGCTGGTGCGAAGGGGGTCTGTTCCAATGCTATGTTGTCAGTGCTCCTGAACCGTGTACATGGTTGTGTACTCTCTTTTCTTTTTTAAGCAAGGAGGGGAAAAAAAACCCACCCCAAAAACCCAAGCCACTCTTCCTGTGACCTTGTCCTCCATGAGAGACTGCTGCAGCAGCAGATCCTGCTGGAAAGTGATTTCTGTTGAAGCAGATGTTACATAGATCATCTGGAACCCATGGTAAGAATTGCATAGCTTCCTTTTGTCCCCCTCTTCGGGTTTTTCAGGTGATTAAGTGTAATTGCCTTAGCAAGATTATTTGGGACCCACAAGGCTTTGTCTTGGCAGCACAGTGGGTGTCCATTTGCACTGGGTGAGTCCCCGGTGGCGCAGGTGATGCACTGCGACCACGCAGGTTGTGCAGTAGAAGCTCCCACCCCACGAGAGCTTTTTCTGACGGCTAGATGGTGTGGGCCAGTGCCAGGCAGTGGATGTGTCTCCAGTGCTGAGCCCGGGACTGGGGTGCCATCCAGGGGCGAGCGCTCAGCACTGCAGCTGGCCGGGCTCCCGGCAGGGATCGGGCCCCCGCGCTGGGGTGCAGGGTGACCTGCTCGGGGTCGGGAGGTCAGGAGAGCACGGGGGCAGACAGGGAATCACTAAAGCCTGAAAACGTGGAGGGCCATGATACTTTGGGATTTGCAAGTTTGGGACTGGAGGGCGTGGAGCTGCAGCTTCTTGGAGAAACTTCTGGTTTTCGTGCTTGAAAGATTATCTATTCATCTATTTTCCTTGCTTGGTTTGAAAATGATGGTCAGAGTGAGATGCTGCCTTCTTCTGAGCCCCCCTTCTCTGGTCAGAAATCTCCGTGTGCCCCTCCTGCAGCTGGTGCTTCTGGGCTGCAATGCCACATGCCATCTTTCCTCATCTTTAATGGCCAGATGCAAATCTGCTATTAGATGCTGGTCCTTCAGAGCATGTTGAGAGGCTCGTGCTGCTGGGAGCACAGCAGGGAATGCTCCATTAAAAGCAAAGGAGGAACAAGTTTCTTTGAAGCAGCTGCTTCTGTACCATTATGTCTCATGCGGGCTGCAGAGATGAAAGTTTATGAGGGCTAGCTGAGTGATGGGGACTTAATTTTTCTATGCGTAAGAGATGAAAACAGGGCAGGTGAAAGGGAGGAATTTAGCAGGGTGCTGGAGAGGGGCTGGTGCACCTGAGAGGAGACATGCAGGAGTCCTGCCTGCTGCAGGGGTCAGGGCATGGGCTGCAATGGCACCAGCTTGGGAGCACCGGGTGTGCCAGCAAACCCTCTCAGTGGGTTATTGCATGAAGCCTCACGTACAGCCAGCTGGGAACTTTCCACTGGTACAAGTTTTTCATAAGAGAATATGTAAACAAAGCTTCCCACAGGAAATCATGTATATTTTCACTGAAGATGGAGCAATATACCTAAGTAGAGTCTCATCCATCCTGCTGAAATAGTGGTCTAGTTATTTATAGCACTGGTTGGAGGTAAGGCCAAACTTCTTAGACTTTGGAAGTGACCATGTGCATCTGTCCGTCCTTGCTGCTTTTGCCTCCTGGTACCAGGTTAAAGGGGGAAAAAAGGATACTCTGGCAATTACTGAATGGGAAAGCATCTCCTTCTTGTGCTGGATGTATTTAAGAAATGGGCTAACTCAAAGAAAAGTTTTGGGGCAAAGCAAAGCAGACATGTCATGGTGAAGGTCCAGGGCAGGCAGGATAAACCCCAGTGCTTTCTCAAAAAAAAAAGCCCCTAGCAAGCAAGCTTTCAAAACAGTTTCTGTTTTGTCAAACACTTCTAAAAGTTTCTAGCAGGAGCCAGAGATGTAAGCTTTAGCACATTTCTTTGCTCCTGCAAGTCTTTTTGCTCTTTCATATTCAATTATTTGTTTTTTTATTTATTCAGTTACTTGCTTTTGTTTATTCAGTTATGTGCTTTTGTTTCCAAGGTTTTTTAGCAGTGTCAGCTTTGTTCATACTGAACTATTTCTTTTTTAAACAGTCAAGCTTGCTGCTGCCTTTCTGAGTGTGTGTTGTCCTTAATCTCAAGGATCTCCTTCAAATGTCCTTCCAAGCCCAGACTGCATCTTCAGGGCCTGTGTTTTTTGATGGAAATTTTTCTTGTGTTCTTTGCAAGTTTCATTTTTTTGTGGTTAAAAATTGTAGCCACATGTTCTTGCTGAGCGTGCTGTGTACAATTTGTTAAGTATTTCTATTGCTGCTTTGTCATAGCACAGAAGTAGCAATTTTAGTGGCGCTCCTGTTCAGTGTTTAATGAGGTGGTAGCATAAAAATGGAAGGAATATTTTCTGCAAGCATCCAGAGGAGTTAAGGCTCTCATTCATACAAACTTTTCACTAATTTATATTTTTCAATGGAAAATATCTAATTTTGTAGGGACTTCAAAAAATTGCTGAGGTGGATTTTGCTTGCTTGTTTTTTACTTCTGCCTTTTTCTGTTGCAGATCGGTAGCAGAGAGGAATGCAAAAGCAAGGAACAAACTGGGGATTTTTTCCACTGCCTCCCAAAGTATGTGAAGTATGATGGCACCGAATGAGCAAACAAAATGGTGAAACAGCACAAACAAAACGTAAAGCAAAAACGTATTTACAATTGAATACTTTGCACAAACCTAGTCACAAATCTCATAACCAGGAAGACGCAACACGTGTGGTTTTGTTGTGCAGCCCCAGTTTGTCCCTTCACTGGTTAAATGGCAAAGGTTGGTCTTACTCTGCACCCTGTGGCAGGTTTCCCTTGTCAAAATGTGCTCATTTGTGTGTTTTCAGCACTAAGCAAAGGTTTATTTCTCTCTTACCTCTTATCAGCTTGGGATAATTCCTCTAAGGACAGGGACTATAGTGTGTCTGCCACAAATTCTGTTGCTTCCTTCTGCGAACCTCAGTAAACACTGGGAATGTCTTGTGGCAAGTGTTTACAGTGATAATTGCTGAAAACTTGGTCATCTCTCTGCAATGTTATCTAGGTGTTCCTGCTTTTAGAAGTCAGGTGAGAAATAATCACTAAAAACATCTCGGAGGAAAAGCTGAAGAGCTGTAAAGAACATCATTCCTTAGATCTGGCTATGCTGCCA